TTGGTTGTTGTTATCTGTGAAAGGCCTTCTTAGAAGAGATGATTTACATTTAATGCGATAAATAACCTCTTGACCATAGCAGGTGCATGTCCTCTGATAAGCTACTTCAGAAGATGTAACTTGATGCAATAAGATCTCCATAGCAAGCATTCCTGTAAACTCCTCTAAAAGTCCTTCATCTGGTATCTGCCAGACTGGTAGTTGATACTCGGATACAAAATCCATCTTCCAACTGGAACCAACTGAATACCTTCTGAATACCAGTTTCTCCTAAGTTTTAAGCTTAAAATGAGATTGCAAGATACTTTTTCATTGTATTTCAAGTTGTTATATGTAAGGGTGAAAAACTTCAACCTGTGACTAGAGATATGTTCAGTCTGGTGTAGCTGATTTTGTCTTTCTACAAGGCATCCAGTACAACCTAAAGGGATCTGCAAAGGGGACACAAAATGCCTACTCTAAATGCCTCACAGCTTTAAAAGCAAGAAGGAGAAAAGATACTATGAATGCAAGTGATTAAGTAAGAGATGTTCAACACTGATTTGTTCTTTATTTCATATGTCTTACAAGAGTCAGTCTGCAAATGCTAAACTATTGAGTTGGACTAGTGAGTTGCTGGATTAACAGCTCTCTTCTTGTATAGAGCAGGGTGAGTCTCACCCTTTGTCAAGAGTCACTGGTGAGTCCAGTCCCTCCCCTTCCTGGGGGCATCTGATGACATGCAGATTTTTTAGGAGGGAGTCAAGGCACCTCAGAGGCTATTGCAGACTTGTTGTGCTCAGAAACCCATTTCAATCAAGGCTTTCAGAGTAAGGTGTCTGTCATGGTTTGAGATAACCCCAAAATCCAATTCCCTAGCTCCATTCCCCCTCCCACATCTCAACCTAATATGAGATGGGTTTTTCCAGACAAAACACACCAGACTCAAAGTGGGGGAAAGGGAATATATTACAATGACTGTACAAATAAATATCATATCACATTATACACACGATCACAACTATCTCTACCATGACATATGTATTTACACTGATCAGATCTCTTCTCCCCTCCAAATAAAAGTCCCCCTCCAAATAAAAGTCCAGGAGGGAAAGAAGGACAGATCCCTTCCAGTCCTTAAGCAGCAGCATCTTCTGAGGCAGCAGTCTGTCTGTCTTCTCCACATGCAGCAGCTGATAGCTGGCTTTCTGCCAGCACTCACGAGGGAGGTATCCAAGCCTCTCTCTCGGCCCCATCGCCTCCAACCGAGGGGTCTTCGTGGGCTTCGTAACCCCAGACAAGGTCGTAACACCACGTCATATCACGAAGACACAGGGGGGTCTTCGTGACGGTCTGGTATCTCCAGGAGACTCAGCTCCTTGCAGGGCCTCTGTGCCCTGCCTTCAGGCTGCCACCGTGGCAGCAGTGCAAGGGGGGGTGGGAGCCAAGGTCAACTCCCCCCGCATTCCTCTGGCCGTCCCAGTCCAGCTCCAGGATGCTCTGAGCTTCTCAGCTCCTCTCTCACTCCGGTGCTGCATGTCCAAAACTGCTCTCCAAAGTAGGAGTCCATGTCCCTCTTCTCCAAGAGGGGTCTCAAGGGAGTTTTAGGGGATCTGGTACAGTCTTACCCCCAGAACTCTGTCTCTCAGGCTGCTGGCTCTCTTTCTCCCGGCTCTCCTTCCAGGAGTCCTTTCTCTGGTGCTGCATGTTGCTTCTGCTGCTCCTTCAGTTCAGGTTCTTATCTCTGGCTCTCTGCCACCGTTTCTCTGGTCAGTGCCCGCTGCTGCTCTGTGCCCATGGAGAAAACATCTCCCGGCATAACTACAGGCACCTAGCCCAGCTTTATGCTGTTCCAGGTCCCTGCAGCCCCCAGCCAGGGGCTGGGAGGCCCCAGAGGGCCCAAGGGGCTCAAAGCCCCTTCCTCGTGGCTCTACAACATGGCCACCTCTCCTCCCAACAACAAACTACAACTCATCTCTTCCGGTGAGATTGTGGGATGTTGACATTTTTGCAGGAGCGCCCATTGGACAGAACTCCAAAACTTCCAGGGGTTTCCACCCCTTGGGGTCTACCACTTTTCTTAGCCTCTGGGGGAAAACAAGATTCAAACCATGACAGTGTCAAATGTCTCAGTAACCAGCTTCTTACTGTAGTCTTAAAGGGTATGTCGTATGCATGCTTGAAAAATATATTCATAGTCATGTGGTGAACAGGTAGTTCCATAATGTAAAGTGCCTTAGGTGAAAGATTTATTTTATTGTCACTCTCTCTTGCAAAGTCAAGGCAATGGATCATCTTCTCAGACCCCACATAAATCTAACTCCAGGTCATCCTCAGCCAAAACAATGGGAAGTGAATTGCCAGTGCCCTTTCATAACTGCAAATCCTTAATTAAGGAAGGTTACAATGAGACATGTAGAACGCCAGCCTCAGCAAGTAGCAGACTTACTGCTTCTGAGAATAAATTTTAACTTGTCAGAAGAAAGTTGGTGGGTTATTTCATTCGTGTGGTTGGTAGTATTCAGTCTTAAAATTATATAAAATTCATTGTTCTAGGGTGGAAGAAGATTATCTCACACCTTAAAACTGTGAAGAGCAAAAACTTTGAAGATGGCACCAGGCTTACTGGGCAGTGCCATTTTGCTTGATTCTGCCTTGATTTCAAATCATTTTAGGGGAAGGTAGAATAGCTATTTTAGCCTGCTGGTCCTATCAGACTCTTACTCTGAAGGTTTAATTTCTAGTTTGTGAAACCAGAGAGAAAGAGGGCTTAGAGAATATTTCTAGGCATCTCAACTATTCCTCAATATCAACTTATTATGATGTTTATGTGAGTTTGCTTTTAATTAGCAAGAACCTGCAGTGAATAGAAAATAGTATAGACATATACGTTTTTAAGCATTTTACTAGACAAGTCTCTTGTGTTTGCTTCTTTTATATTCTTTTCTGCTTTTCCAGTTCATGACTAGTTCTTGAAGCCCAAAGTACTGATTGTTTGCCATCAGAGCATTCTGCTGCTTCACTTTCAAAATAGGACTTCTTCACAAAGATGCAGCATATTGTCTTACATAAGAACTAAGTTAAACCCAAAAAAGGGGAAAGATTTGCATTCTGATTCTCTGCTTTTATAGCATGCATATCATTTACATCTGTCTAGATAAATGTAAAAAAAAAAGGCAACCACATTGTTGTTTTTACTGATTAAAACCAGCAAAAAGCTAGGTATTTCAAGAATAGGAGATGTGCCAATAAAGCTTGCCAAGAACAGGTCATGAAAAGTGAGTATAAATATGTTTATGGAGGTCCTTTAAATATGGAATTCCTTTTCATAAAGACATTCCGAACAAAATTTAAATGACAGCTCTTTTCTTTAAAAAGTAGCATTTCTTAAATGAAAATAAGAACAGTATTCTTATTTCTGCTTTTTTTTTTTTGGTCTGTAGGTAAAGTCTCTCTGCCTCATGCAGATTATTTTAACGTGGTTTTTTATTAGTATGCTGATCAAAATTTTTCCATTAAACTGTGTAATCATCTTTGCAGACAGTTCCATATAAAATAATTTAAACATAAAATTGTATAACTGCAGTTAATTTTAAAGGGAAACCCAAAAATGTAGGTTGATTCCTGTTAATTACACTGCTCTGTCAAACCACAGAATGCTAAAGAAAGCCTTGAGCAAGTGGTGTTCTTGCTACCTATATTTATAAATGTCTGTCCTAAGGTCTTCCTTCAGCATTTTCTGCTCCCTACCACTCACTTAGACTTTTTTTGTAGCCTTCATACTTGTAACCACTTATATATAGTGATTAGAATAATTCTTCTCTTTTGGTTGAAGACTTGATGGACATAAAGTCAAAACTCATTTTTGCCACTCGAGGCCAGGTATGGGGCCAAGCTACTGTCCTTTTGGAAGGAGACTAGGGAGGAGTAGGTTTGGATTCTAGAGAAGAGGACAAATGTTGGCAAGGGGAATGTGATGAAGAGTCAGGCTTGCTCTTCCAGCTGCTCCTGGGAGGATGCTGGCCTAAAATAAAGACCACTCATTCTTCATAACCACATATTGCCCTCCAGCTTCCCCAAGAACTAGCAGCTGCCCTGCAGCAGCAAGCTCTTGACACAGCACAAAAATCTTTCCCAGCAAGTACACAAATATATACAAGGGAATGGAAAGCAGGGTGTCTTTTGCTCCCAACAATTTCTTGCCTGCTTTCTGTGTCACACATCAGCAGTGACCTTGATCTTTGCAGCCGTGCTCAGAAAGCTTTGGCTCTTGATTTCTCTTCCTTTTCTTTGACACATTATGAATTGAGGGAGAAGGGGGTTTGATTTTTTTTTGAACTTCAGTAAATCTCCTTGTGCCTTGCACCATTAAGCTTGTTTCTGTATAAAAACAGTAATTGTCTGTACATTTGTATAGTAAAATATTTACAAAATGAAAAATTACTTGTTGAAGGTTTGGATAATACCATACTGCTGTATCAGGTTGTGAGGAAAGTCTTTTTGCTTATAGTACCAACTAACCTAGACAGTTACTTGCATTACATTGAAGATCACAGGGTGATTTTGTTCTCTCAATGTGTATCTATGAACAGTGAAAGTTTTAGTATAAATCAGAACCTGTTTTCTGCTATTTGTTTTTATTAATTTTACTTACAAAGAAGATATCTGAAGACCAAGCCCTAAAAAGTTCCTTATAATACTCCTTCATTTCGTGTGTGCTTTACAACCTGTGTAGACCTAGATCATAACCAGCTGCTCAGTTTTTAGGCTTAGCTCTGAGAAATTTCCAGGGTTACTGTGACTACACGTTGTGTATTCAAAACTGTATTCTCACTGCAAAAGTGTGCAGGTATCAGTCAGCCCTATTCACATGTAGTCTGGTTTATTCTTGACAGAAACAGCTTAATTAAGCACACCAATGCTGTGAAATATATTGTTTTGATTTGGGTTTTTTAAAACAAAAACTATTTAAACTTTTTTTTTTTTTAATGTTAATTATTAGTACTTTTATTTCTTTGTAGGAGTTCTCTGGAATCTATCCTCCTGTGATGCACTGAAAATGCCAATCATCCAGGATGCCCTCGCAGTGTTGACCAACGCAGTGATCATCCCTCACTCTGGATGGGAAAACTCTCCGCTCCAGGATGATCATAAAATACAGCTCCATTCATCCCAGGTGCTGCGCAATGCCACAGGGTGCCTAAGGTGAGTACTGCAAAACATCTGCTTTACCTTGCTTTGGTTTGAATTGATATTTCTTATTCTTAGGCACCTGTAAAGTCAGTGATTGGTGTGTATGTCAGCAAAGTTGATGACTTTCAGTGATGTAAACTTAAAGTTAGAAATAAATTAAAAAAGAAGATGCAGGACATTCAAAAACAATCTCTAGAAAGACTGCTGGGGGTTTTCTATTTTTCTTTTCTTAGCTGCTTTCACCCAAGCTTGTATATTACATATGTTTTCTTCCTTGTAGATTTACCCTGTTTCCCCATTTGCTTAAGTCAAGTCAATATGTTCTCGCTATTATGCCCAATTTAATCAGCACAAAAAGTAATGAAGATGCTACCAAAAAGTAAGGTCATAAAGTTCCAGATACCATTGCTGGAGTTATGATAAATATACAAAGTAGATTTTTTTCTACTCTGTGAAGATGAGAAATTAATTTCAATAAGAGACCAACCAATTTAACATTGTACAAGTAGAAGTCTTAAATAGATCCTTAACAAGTATGATAATTATTTATGTTTATAATTGTATGCCAAACTTGTATATGCAATGCCAACATGCACTTATATAAATATGTGCAGTTTGATCTGTCCATTCCTAAAAGTCCTGTGGATGTGAGAATAAAAATATGATGAGTAAGAAGAGTTTCAGTTCTGACAAAATCTTACTAAAAGATTGAGTCATAGCACTTTCTGAATTCCAATGCATATCATTTTCTAGAAATATTTTAGGATATTAAGCATTGATTTTTTTCCTCCAGGTATATTGGAGAAAATAATCTGTAGTCCATCTCAGAGACACGTAAATTGATTAGTTAATATTTTACATGCATCACAGGAAATAACAAAGTGAATAGTCTGTATCAGTAATACAATCTGTTGTAAGCTGCAGCCAAAGCATACATTATCCATTGAAGAGTAAAATAAAAAAAAATAAATTGATAGGAGGCAAAGTGAAATAGCAGTATTTTTTTTTACATATCTGTAGCAAGTACCTTTTTGTCTTTGTGGCCTTTCATAAAAAAAAATTTCTCCCTTTCCAAAGTAGTATTTGAAAAGTTTAAGGGAAAAAGTAATAAATATTATTGGTGGTTTATATGTAATCAGAAGAGAATGAAAGATAGAAGGTAATAACTTATATACTGCAAATATACTTGTATTGGACAATGCAAATGTGATTATGTGAGTACCAGCTATCTTGAGGTATATGACTGAAGCCAGGTATTAGTATCTGAGTTGTATTGACTTTGAAATGAGTATTGCATTCAAATCACTAGAAAAAAAAGTTGTTCAAATCACTGTGACAGAAGTTATTACACAAAGACCTGTACCACATTATACGTCTCACATTTCCAATGTATCTCAGTTAAAGAGCTGCCTCTGAAAAGAAGCATCTGTTATAAATTTGGGGCTTCACAGTACCCCTTCTCTGACCAAGCATGTCTGGTGTTGATCTCCCCACACCGTAAGCTCCATCTTCCTGTTAATTTTTCCCAACTGCTTCTCAGGGACTGATGCTCATCCCTGATCCTGCAAATCTCAGTTCTTCCTACCTCATAATTGATGGATTCATTTGCACACTGGTCTTGAAATCTTTCTTCTTTCTCTTTTTTTTTTTTCTTGTGAGTGTATGTGCACGCCCATTTGCAAACTGATGTGAGCTTACTGTAGCCTGCATTCTGGGTCAGCCTGAGGACTTGGGGCCACATGAGAAGGGTACGTTGCCTAATCTAATACACACTGCTTTGCAGCAAGGCTTACTACCAAGTGCTTGATGGTATGCTGTCATAGCAGAATGGCTTCTGGTCAGCTCCTGCGAAATAAGCTCATATCTGCCTGCAAAAGACTGTGCATATTATAACTCTTGAGTCTTTCCCAGGTAGCTGTAGCGGCAGCTCAAATGCTGTCCTGAGCAGGTTGGTCTTCTTTCTAAAACCAGGCCCTTCAATCATAGTATGGCTTTTTAATATCTTTCTAATATCAAACCCTCCCTATTTCCCATAGGCACCTTTATGTCCTCCTAATGGCTTCAGATATTTATTTGGCCTCCATCCATCTTCTTAAGTTAGTTTCATCCCACTGAGTCTGTATGGATGCTCTTTGGCGGAGCCAGAACATTTGGAGAGGGTTGAAACTTATTACTGCTTCACACCAGCGGGAACTTTCTTGTTTACCTTTCCCCAGTCGCTGTTGAAGATAAGCAAAATGTCAAGTTTGAGTTTTTACAGGAAAGAAAAGTAGATACTGACCTCTGAGATAGTAACTGGATTCTTATGTTGAATTCATGTAATGTAATGGGACTGTAAGCTGGTGGAAACAGTGAATGACAGAAAAAAGTATCATAAAGTTCTGTGGAGATGATTGGAGTCTTGCATGTTCTGTTCTGGTAGTACTTTAGTGTACTTTAGCTAGCATTCCTTAAATAGCCACCACCCTCAATAAATTGAACAGCTATCACAGTTTCCACTTGGGACTAGTTACAAGTTTCGCATTTCCATTTAAAGATCTCACTTGACAAGGGAAGTAAATCAGGAAGATGCAATGTGGTTGCTGGCTCAGATAGTGCTGTGTTTATCTGGTAAATGGGAAATTCATTGTCATCTTCCACAGAAGAATTTTTTCTAAGACTGTGGTTTTTTTGTCCTCTGTTGTTTTCTTTTTCTGCTTTTGCTAGAGCTCATTTTTGAGGGGACACAGTTAAAATTCAGTTGCATCAAGTTTATCAGTGACAGTATCAGAGGAAGAGCAGTGGTATTCAGCATGCTTGACAAATGCTTCTGAATATGTAATGTTAACAGACTTTAGAGACATCAGGTTGTACTACATAGGTTTAATGCTAGTAAATATGCCAGGAGGATTTGGGTTTGGATTTTAATCAGTCTTCTGTGACTTGATTGTCTGTGTATTCACTGCTGAAAACTTTAAATAATATCTGAGAGGTGCCGTAATTTAATCTGTGCCATATACAATGCTAATAAGTAGTTTGCAATGGCCGTTTTACAGGAATAGTCAGATCTTTGTTTTTGTGGTTTTTTCACTGCACACTATTATTCCTTCTGCTGATCTTCACCTTTCTCCACTTCTTGATGAGAATTTCTTATGCTTTTTCAATTAAAAAGTTGGTTATTAACTACAATTTTTAGTATTCCTGTCTGCTTATTCATTATCTTTCCTAACCAGTTATAGACTATAACTAATCTATAACTCCAGTCACCCAGTAATCCAAATGAAGTCGTTATGAGATCATGCAAAAAATAGGAGCAACAACAGACTCTCTTTTCCTTTTATTTTCTCTGTTCCTTAAAGATGTTATTTAAAAACTGCACTTTGCATACTTTTCTGATTTGAAAAAGGAAAACAGTTTTAATACAATATTGTATGAATTAATTTTACATAGTTTGAATGCTTTGAAATTGTTTAGATAATTCAGAGATCTAAATACAGCATTATACCTATCATTTATAAATTTAAATATTCGTCTTTCATAAATTGCCAGACCTCAGTGTGACGTGTGCTTGGAGTAAGCACCCAATTTACTTGCCTCCCCACTGTGATGCTAGTACCTTACCTCATTAAGCTCTGGTAAAGTTTGACTTCTTTTTTTTCCTTTTGGATTTCAGCTGTGACTGCGTTATTTGTGCTCGGGAAATACCATATCTTTGGTTTATAGTTTCTGATTTACTTAAACTTATTAGGGATAGTCAGGTGAAAACTGAATTTGGAATCTCAGTTGTTTATGGGGGGTTACAATCTCTAATCAGAAATTTAAAAATCAACAGGAGACACATTGCATAATGTTGTCTTAACCTGAAACTTCAAGCTTACTTATCATAAAGCTATAGATCCCTGTCCAGAAACTTAACTGAAAAAAGTCCCAGGCAAAAATATTTTCAAGAGTTTTGTCGTGATGTACAATCTGGTGGAACTTTGTTTTTCTCTGAATTTAAGATCAATTTGAGTTAACATAATATTATATTATCTGAGGACTTTAAAGAATTTTAAGACTTTACTAGTTTAAAGTTCTAATCTGGGTTTAGATGCAAAAAAATATGTTAACTGTGAAGCCTTAATATCAAGTGGTTTTAACTGTTTTGTTTGTGAATGATCTATTTCACAAACATTTACAGCTAATGCATTTTTCTCACCATCCTATTTCTCCTCCAGTTCTCTTCTAAGCATCCAAAGTCTATCGATTCCTATTCTTAGGACCTTCTGTAATCTGTTGTGAATAGAACATTCTGCTGCATACTGACAAAATGAGATGGGGGGGGCAGCTTAAAATAAATAGCACAGACTGTATTATTTATCATCTGTTTAGTTTCTAAAGAAACATACATGAAGACACATATGTATATGTGAAACATGTTTCTGAAAAGACTAAAATGATACATGTATGTATGTGCACGTTTATATGCGTGTTTTTGCGTATATGCATTCAGATATAGAAGGGCAGATTATGGGAGCTGCAATACCTTTCTGTCTTTACTGACTGGTGCAAGCTCTGAATATTTTCTGTTGAGTATAAATGGAGCTGGTTTCGTTCAGTAGGTCCAGGAGCTTTGCTGCTGATTTTATGATTCTCCTCCTATTAACAAAACAGTCACATTTTGTCCATCCCTGTGGATTCTGTGGTGGATATAGAGATGCTGGACTTACCAACCCATCTTAGTACTTCCTGTGCTTTTCTCAAGCCCAGGAGCTCTTCTCAGGCTGACCTTACCATTTTGTCCAAAGCCCATGCTTTCTGTCAGAATCCAAAACTCAAATTAATTGTGTATTTCCACTGGCAGCCTACTCAAGGGAGGGACATTTGCTAAAAGCAGTTCCAGCAAACTAGAGACATGGGAGAGAGAAAACTACCTAGAGAGATACTGGAACAGGTTTATCTACTTCCAAATCCAAACTTGAAATTTTTCCTCCTCTTAACCTCTTCAAATCCAGTCTTATCCTACAAAAAGGAGTCATCACCACTGTTCTTGT